CCACTGGGTCTGCGCAACACCTAGCACTAAATTTGGATGTAATGACGTCGAGCAGGCGCAGGAGCCGCTTCCGGCTTCCCATATAAGGACGGAGTTGGGATCTCCATACAGGGTAGTAGCAGGCTTTTTCCGGTCAGGCAGGGGTGGGGCCTTGGCCCCCCCAAGACCTGCCCCCTTCCCTCTCCCTCTTCCGGCTGCTTGGGCTGGCCAGAGCCCCCGGCTTCCGGACCGGCGACCAGCTGGGTAGGCGGGTAGAGAGAGGAAGGTTTCGCTTCCTTCCTGGGAGGCCAAGAGAGCGTGATGCCCCTCCGGGAATGCCCCCACCCGCCGGCTGGTTGGGGCGACCTCGGGGCCCTCACTAACGCCACGTCCAAGAGACCTTACACAAAGACCTCGCCAGCACTAGGGGCGACTCGGTGAGGACCCCCTTCATCCCTGTCTCCTTACTGTTATTTCTCCCTACAAAGTCCCCTCAGATATTCCTGCTCCTCCCAAAATTAATCCTCTCATGCACCCTTGGCGGACGCTCAGGTCCTACCCGCCCTCACATGGGAACTTAACAGTTGTTCCCCCCTGAAAGACCTCTCCAAAAACTGTCCCCATTCACCAATTCTTTCTGTCGCGTACTGTGGCGAATGCTGAGAACATCCCCATCCCCCTCCCGCACCATGGAGACTCCACGATGACACCCCCTTCCCAGGTGCCATCTCTGAGACCCCACACAGCGACTATGACACATACAAGGGCAGCCCTCCGATGACTTCTTCAGGCATCTCGCCCACCCTCCAGAGGGAGTTTAGGACCTCACTCAGGCAATAGCCTCACTCCCTGCACCGCGCCCCCAAAAAGTGCTTTCCTGAAGACTGCAAATAGAACGCCCCTGTATGACAGACCCTATGAGCTCTTCTCCCAAACATTTCTGGTCTCTCCCCCAGACGGAGAGGACTCCACTGGAGACGCTCCTCTGAGCCACCACCATACCTCCTTCCGCGGTCCCCCGGCTCGGACCCAGTAAGACCCCACCCCCGAGAAGCATCTTCAAGGCCCCCACTACCGGTCACCCTGCTCCAGGGAGGCCTCGAGGCACCCCTCCTCCGCGAGGAAAAAGAGGAGGGGAGAGTCCGGCAGAATTCCCCACAGAATGCCCGCGCCTCACCCCGCCCTGCGGGAAAAGAGACGACCACCTCTTCCCCGACCCCTTTCCAAACCTGCAGCTCCCGACCCGACCCTGGATTAGGCGATCTCCCGGGACAGGATTCGGGTGCAAGCTCAGGTAGTCGGTTGAGAGGATCTACAGATCGAACGAGCCCCTTCCCCAGCCACAATCTCATTTGATTTCAGGGAGACTATTACATTTTCATTGCCCAGAAGGGAAACCGAGGTTGCGCAGCAACAATCCGAGAGGCTGGGTCTCGAACCCACAGATTGCGAGCTCCCACGCGAACTAGGAATCTGCCAGACAGAACTAGGGCATTGCGGAGGGAAGCAAAGTGTGCAGAAGCGCAGGGGCGGGGCGTGAGCACAGGAAGCGGTCTCTGCCCACAACCAAGATGGCCGCAGAGAGGGCGGAAGTTCCGCACTTCCGGCCTCTGAGGCTTCTCTTTCTCCCCTGGCTGTCTGACTCTCCATGGTGGCACGGGTCACGTGACGGGGGCGGGGTTGGCGGCGCGTTCTTCCCCGCCCGGAGGGAACCAGCTAGCAGGCCGAGAGGGGAGGGGGCACGGCCTCCGGCGGGGCGGGGGCTGACATGTCTCTCGAAGACCCGTTTTTTGTAGTCCGAGGGTGAGTGACAGCGATGGGGGAGACCAGAGGGTGCTCGGGCCCCTGCCAGCCCTTGCCTGGGTACGGGCCGCAGCGTGTTAGGCGGTCTGGGCTCTGCCGTCGGGGTGCGCGGGTCGGGATCGCCGGGTGGTCGAGTGCGAGGGGTACGCAGGGAGATGTAGGAGGTCTCTACCCCCACACTCGTTTTGGGGTGCGGCGGCGGCGGACGGGAGGCCCGCCTTCTCCCAGTTGCGCCCGCTGTGTCCCTGCCTGCAGCGAGGTGCAGAAGGCAGTGAACACTGCCCGCGGGCTGTACCAGCGCTGGTGTGAGCTCCTGCAGGAGGGCGCCTCAGTCGGACGCGAGGAGCTGGACTGGACGACCAATGAGCTGCGGAATGGCCTGCGCAGCATCGAGTGGGACCTTGAGGACCTGGAGGAGACCATCGATATCCTGGAGGGTTGGAGGGCGGCCTAGGAGAGCCCATTGCGGTGGCAGGGGGAGCTGGGAGGCTGAACGCCAGGGAGGGGTTGAAGGCTTTGAGGCAGAGGAGGGGGTTGTGTCTGGCCTTGACTCTTGACTCGCGGCCTACGCATTGTGGAATCTAATCCAGGCAAGTTCAAGCTCCCAGCTGGGGACCTGCAGGAGAGAAAAGTGTTCGTGGAGCGGATGCGGGAGGCAGTCCAGGTGAGAGGAGGTTCCAGTGGGGTGAAGGTGGGGAGTTGAGGGTGTCTTTACTCTCTGATGTTGTCCTCACCCCCAGGAAATGAAGGACCATATGGTCAGCCCAGCAGCTATAGCCTTCATGGAGAGAAATAATAGAGAGGTAAGACATCCTGAGCCAACATCTTCACTTGATCTTTCAGGGTGACCCTCTCCTTTGAAAGCAAGCCTCACTTTTGTGGGTGTGTTTGCCTGTTTTTTGGAAATGTGTGTACATCTGTCCCTTCTGTGTCAATGCTCATCTTTTCTGTGTTCTGTCTACCTTCCTGCTTTCTGGGTGTGAACACCTGAGCCCTCATTGTGTATATATTCCCTTCTGCCTTCTCCTGGGGGAATTCTATACTGATTTCCCTGGGGTGGGTGGATAGTGTCTGTATATTTATCCCCTTTCTTTGCTCTGTGTGTTACTGTTTCCAGCAAAAGTGCCTATTTTCTCTGCGTGTATGCACTTAACCCATCTGAGTGTGTGAACTTGGCTTCTGAGTGTATCCATCCTGTCTGCCTTGTACATGCACACCGTTTCCCTCTGTATGTGTGCTTACCTGTGTGTGTGCCTGCTCATGCCTTTTGTGGGCACACTGTTGCCTGTCTGTAAACCTTTCCCCTCTGTGTTGTATGTCCATCCTTTGAGTGTTGTGAAACCACCAGCCTCTCCCCATCCTGTCATAAGCCCGCATGGGGTCTAGGAGGGTGCAGGGGCTGAGTCCTGTAGCAGTACTGCCTTCCAGGTATGCCACCTTGGGGATTAAAGTCCAAGTTCTTAAATATACCTGTTTACATGGTAACAAGTATTCTCCATGGATTAATTCATTTTCTCATGCCAGTCTCAGGTGTTATAAATCTCCCCATTTTACAGATGAGGAAACCATTGCGTAGGGAGGTCAAGTGATGTGGCCTTAGGGGTCACCTTGCTAGTAAGTAGTGGGTCTAGGGAGTTCAGGCCTTTCCACTTCAGAGACACCTTTACTGACTAACCACTATCTAGATTTGTCACAAACCTGTGTCTGGCTCTGTGGTGCATGGGCGTCCCTGCCTGAGCCTGTGGTCTCTGCCTCCCCAGATGCTGACGGGTAAGCCAGCTGCTCAGAAGGCATCCAGCGACCTGCTGGATGCCAGCGTGGTTTCGGCCACCTCTCGCTACATTGAAGAACAGCAGGCCACACAGCAGGTTTGTGTGGGTGGTCAGGGGCTGTGGGCTAAAGAAGCCTGTGGACGGCTGCATTCCCTGCCGACAGCAATTCCCTGCCTCCAATCTGTAGCTGATCATGGACCAACAAGATCAACAGCTGGAAATGGTGTCTGGGAGCATCCGGGTTTTGAAACACATGTCTGGCCGCGTTGGGGAGGAGCTGGATGAGCAGGGCATGTGAGGCTGGGACCCCTGGGGTGGGCTGGGAGCCCGAGGTTGAGTGCACAGGGGGACCCTTTGGGGATTGATGCCATCCTGGTCTTGGCAGCATGCTGGATGCCTTTGCTCATGAGATGGACCATACTCAGTCTCGGATGGATGGTGTCCTCAGGAAGATGGCCAAAGTATCCCACATGACGAGTGGTGAGTCCCCTGGGAGAGGAAATTTGGGTGGTGGGTGGTGCCGCTGCCTCCTCCCCCATGACTTCTGACCCTCTCACCCCTAGACCGCCGACAGTGGTGTGCCATTGTGGTGCTGCTGGCAGTGCTTCTTCTGGTTCTCATCCTGCTCTTCTCTCTCTGACCCTGGCCCTCCCGGGGTGGGGGGTGCTGATCCCTCAAGCTGGGGGAGCTGGTAGGGCCCCGCTCCCTGGGAGGAGGGGCTCATACCTGGGGAGTGTTTCTAAGGCATTCATCCAGAGCCAGGGGGACCCTCAGGGCCCCGGGCCAGAGCCTCTGCCACTGGTCTTGTTTCAAGTGCACTTAGGGGGTAGTGGAGGTAGGGGGACCTCAGACACACCCTACCCTATTTCTATTTCCGGTGCCCCAAAGCCATTTATTCGCTCCTGTGCCTTCTATATATGCCAACTTGGAAATAAAATCCCAGCCTTTTTTATACATATTTGTATCATGCGGTGTGTTGACTTGAAATTTTTGGGTGCCCTTGAGTGAGAACTCTAATTCCAAGACCCGTTTGCAGGGACTATGGCCCAGTTGTGTGTTTGTACACGTGTGTGCATGTTAGAGATTTTAGTGGTCAATACTGGGTGCAGAAAAGACGATTGTTTTTTTCCTTGGTTTTCCTGATGAATTTCATTACCATTGAAAATTCCAAACCCTGATACTTTCTTGAGCTTTTGAAGTTCAGCCTAATAATCATTGTCTCCTGTTCTCTGCCCAAGGTAGGTAAATGCTAGTCATGGGGCTGAGTGGTCACTTCTGAAGGGCCTCTGAGTAACACTGGGCTCCACTGCACACCTGGTCACTTATTCCCTCTGTGATGCATCACTCTTAACAAGCAGCGTTTGTAAACTTAGAGGCTTTGCTGTAAGAGCCTTCCTGAGTACCAAACGATTCCTCTAAGTTGGGTAAACTTGTGCCCTGAACCTTGCATATCATTTTAGATGTTTTTGTCCCACACATTAGGTATTAGGCATGGGAACCACACATCTCACTCACTCATGTACATGTAGTCATTTGTGTTACTGCCTGCAGTGATTTGTGAAAATCTTAAAAGAGCCAAATATGCAGATTCCTTTTTTTTTTTTTTAATGTGAAACCACTAGCTATGGTGCTGGGTTCTCTTGACCTGTTCTATGCTTACATAGTTCTGTTTTCCTGAGGTTAAAGGATGAGCTTCTGGGAGTTGATGGGGCAGTCACCTCTGGATTTTTTTGGCAATGCTGTTGGCCCTCAAAACCCCTACTTTCTAGCCCCCAAAGTTGGACTTCAGGACTCCAAAGGGACTGCTGGTCTTATCAAAACATACCAGAGTTGGCCTGTACATTGCAGTACAGTTGACCCTTGAACAACACCTGTTTGAATTGTGCACATCCATTTATATGGGAATTTTTTTCAATACTGTCAATCTTTCTCTTAAAACTTTAACATTCTTTTCTCTAGTTAAAGAATACAACATATGGTACACATAACATACAAAACATGTTCATCAACTTTCAGTAAGGCTTCCAGTCAACAGTAGGCTATTTTAGTAGTTTTGGAGTTGAAAGTTATATGCGGATTTTCAAGTACTCAGGTAACCCGTGTTGTTCAAAGGTCAGCCATATCAGTCATCCCTGTGGACATCTGGAGCTCCCCTAAGTCATTATGGGGTGGAAGGACCTGGTCCAGGTTAGAGATACACCTCCTAGCCTACCTCCCAGCAAAGATCTTTTGTTGACTGGATGGGATCCCTCAGATAGGTAAATAACCTTCCCATGCTGCTTGAAACATCTCAATCAGTGGGGCCCTGTCCATGTCTTTTCCTATTTGATAGAAACTTTTAGGTGTGGGGGTGTGTTCAGGATGTTACTGGGGGTGGGGATGTCAGACTACAGAAGGGCGAGTAAATAGGTCATGCAACCCATTTGATGAAGGCACTGCTCTTCTAGCTTTGGATGGTGCTTGGGCATCCATGAGACACCCAAGCGTTTAGGGCTCATGGGTGCAGAAGAGCCTTGGAGGGCGCTGTGTCTGTACATACTGGGGTAGCGAGATAGGTGTTATAGCTGGAAGCTGTTAGTGGCCTGGGTCTGCACCTTGGTGTCCCCATCTGAAAACACAGTCCCTTCCCTCACATAGATGTTCAGAGATGTGACATTTGGTATGGCTGCTCCTAAGCTCACTGAGCCAGGCCCCTGCTGCATTGGTCAATGCGAAACCCTGGGAAGTAGGTGTTGCTCTGTGGAAGGACAGAGGGACCCGTGTATAGTGAGCTTCCCTTCCCAGCACCCCTGCCCCAGTGAGTAACATGCAACAGGGCTGTTACAAAGGCGTTTAGTTTATTCTTGTCATCAGTGTCACTGATGTTCTCATGTTCACATTTCCCAGTGCGCTCCTCTCCTTACAGTAGTTAATGTGCAATCTCACTTACGGGCCAGGGTGGGGGGCTCGGCCCGGAGCGGGGCCTGTGTTGGCACTCCACAAGGACACAGCAGGTAGCCTGTCCTGTGGGAATGAGGGGCGGCCAGGGGAGGCGGACCCCACAGTCTTTTTTGCGTTGGTCGGTGATTCTCCATTCATGCTCCTTCCTGGCTGCCCGGGGTGGGGGGAACCATGCAGCTCAGAGCAGGGCAGGGTGGGGTGGGGGTGGGGTTAGGGTGAAGGAAAAGCAGCAGGCTGCCCCAGAGGGCAGGGCGGGATGGACGGGCTCAGGGGTGGCTCCTGGGGTAAGGCACGACCCTGTCTTTGGCTCTCCTGGTGAGGAATTTCCTCCCCTGCACCCCTGCCCAGCCACTCTCCCCACCCGGCCCCCAGACCAACACATACAGTTCCTGGAGCCAGGGGCACCTCCTGGGGTCCCTGAAACAAGGGGTCTTGGCCACCCAACCCAGTGCTGCAGGGGTATGGAGGAACAGGGGCAAGCCCTGCCCAAGGACAAGGCAGGGAGGGGCTGGGTGGGGGCCTGCCCAGGACAAAGGGTGGGAAGAGAACCCCAGTCCCAGGAGCTGGCCCCCACTAAGGCCTGGATGGGGGTAGCGCCTAGAGACTCTTACTTCCTTTTAGGGGTTGGCTGGAGCCCCAGCCCACCCCTCTGTGGCCCAGGGACCCACCAAGTGACCAGGATATTGTGCTTTGGGATGATGCTGGGATGGGGTGTCAAGGCCAGGACAAGGGGTCAGGGGAGGTACGACTAAGGTGCTTGTGCTTTAGCTGGGGTGTCGACTCCCCCATACACTCGCTGCCCCCCCACTCAGGCCAGAAAGAGGAGTGCCAGGACCCCAGCTGGACTCGACACCCCCCACCTCCACATAAGCAGATGCCAGAAGCACTCCATCTCCACAGGCTGGCAGGGGCTGCTGAGTCAGTGGGAGGCCTCCAAGTCAGATTCCAAGGGCCCAGTGGGTGGCCCCCACCCACCTCTGGCAACCTCTGTCTCTGGAAGCAGTGGGCCATCAGACTTGGGGAGGGGACGAGAGGTGGTAAGAACAAGGGCCAGAGACAAAAATGTCAAATGACACCCAGCATGGGAGGACGGGAGTTAAAAAAACAAAACAAACAAAAAAAACCCTCCGGTTCACATGTACAACTCAAAAAACCCAAAACCACTCGCACTGGGTGAGGATAGAGAGGAATGGTTAGAGAAAATTCTGCAAACAACTGCTAACAATGGAGTAGTGGGGCCCTGCCCTGTTCCCAGGAGCTGGGCTTGGCCAACGGGCCAAGACCAGGGACACCCTTCAAATGTGGCCCTGTGGGGGGAGCTGGCCAGACCCACGCAGCCCTGGTGGCAGCTGGGCCTGGGGCCCCACCTCGGAAACACGCGCCCACACTCCACATGCACGCACTCATTCAGCCTGCTCCACCTCCCCACATCCCATCCTGCCTTCCACGGCCCCCGGGGACTGAAGGGGACATCACAGTCCCGTTGGTTTGAAAAATAAAAGGAATCTTATACTTCAATATTTCATTAGCTAAAAAAATGTTTTAAAAAGTATATACAGAGGGTGGGGGCCAGAAGCCCTGCCGTGGGGAGGGGGAGGGGTGGGGAGAAAGGGAAAGGCAGCAGCACCCCAGCCTGCTCCCCTGGGTTCCAACCTTGGTCCCACTGCCTTTCATATCTTCATTTGTTTAAAAGCAAAACTTCTACACACACACATGCGCACACACACACTCTTCTGCAAGCCCCGGACACCTCTCATCTTATCTCAGAGACCCTCAGTCTACACCCCTCACTCAGGATCTGCCCCCCTCAGGCCATAGAGGATTGATGGGGGCAAGAGAAGCTGAGCACAGGGTGAGGGAGAGAGAAGGGCACTGGGCTGCCACCGCCTGCCACCTTAGGTCAGTTGTGAGATTTCTCTGAGCCTCAATTTTCCTCAGCTGTCACAAGGGCAGTCCCCTTGGCCTCTCCTACCCCAGCCCCAGGGACAGAGAAGGGAGGCAGGAAGGCGCTTTTGGAAATGTGGAAGCACTGGGAGGTGGCAGAGGGAGGGGTCCTGAGCACCCTGGGGCCCCTGCAAGTCCCAAGAGGCTGCAGTGAGGGGCAGAGCAGAAGACTGCACCCAGGCCGGCCCCTCCCCTGCCCAGCCTGGTTGAGACAACTGCTAGGGGTTAGGAAACAGGGAGCAAGTGCCCCCTGACTGTGCACGATTATGTGCAGAGAGAGAAGGCCACACAGAGCTCACACCACTGCTGTCCTCTCCCAGCCCGCTCAGATTGGGGTCGGGGTGGAACAGGGGAGTTCGAGGGGCCGGGAGCATGCAGTGCCCCCCCCTCCACCGCAGGCCCTGGGGAGGGACAGACAGTAGCTCGTGACCAAGATGGCAGGCGAGGGGGTGGGGTGGTGACAGGAGGGGGAGTGTGATGGCCCTGAGGAGGGCCTGGTGGGGGTTACTGAAGGGCCTCAGCCGAGGGGCCGGCCTCTCCATCGTGGCTGGCTGTTTCGAAGCCATGCTCTACGCCCATCATGTCTGGCTCCAGCTTGCCCGTGTCACTGATGAAGGTGGTGTAAGTGTCACCCTCAGGCAGCTTCACCTTGGGGATCCAGCTCTTCCGCACGACGCGGCGGGCGTTGGTACACATGTCAGCCGCAATGGCATTCATCTCGCTCTCCTTGAAGTTTGGGGCAAAGTTCTGGCAGTAGTCTGAGGGCAGAGCAGATGGCTCAGGCCCAGCGTGGCCCTGCTTCCCACCCCACCAACATGCAGTTGGCCACGCTGCTCCTGACTCCCCCAACCCTCTGCCACAGGATACCCCAGAATTCTCCTTGGAGATGAGAACCAAGCCCTTGCCCAAAGCACGCTAAAGCACATCAGCTGGCCCCATGCCTGACTGAGCATGGCCATATGTGGGAGATGTGTGAGCTTTACGGGGTGGCTCAGTGCTCTTGAAAAACGGATCATTTGCAAGAATTTAGGAACTGGGAGATTCCACATGGAAACCTAGAGTTCCCTCGGGA